GACCTAAACATTTCACTGATACATTTTATTAACGCGTCAGTTAAATAAATATTCACATAAATATTAAGTACTCTCTAATGACTCATTTACTGGTACTGGTACTTGTAGCCGTCTGATTTCAGATATTCGGCAGCCATTGACATTATGTTGGCGTTAAAAGACTGTATTGTGATGAGGGACATGTGTACAAACAATTACCAAACACAACAAATATGGAAAATTAAATGCTATTTACAAAATATTTTATTTAATGCTTATGGGTGAAACTTTCTTTAATAAATTGGCTTCTATTCAGTTGAATTTTTTCTGCATGATTATTTATATAAGGACCTATATTTTTAAATGAAACCAATTTCTTTTAATTTTAAATACATTTCCCCTGAATTCGTGATAATTCGTTATCACGCATAGATTTGTGCTAAATACGTGACAAATTATGGATCACGATTATGCAAAATGTGTGTTTCATCCAAAATCAATTTGAAATGCGAGACAGTTGGTAAATGCTATAGATCGACTACAATGTACCTTAATATTTAATACATTTAAATCAAATTTAGATCAATCTTAATAATGTGATTTTAACGCAATTTTCAAACGTATCAGAGGTTATTTTCGGGCGTCTAGAAAACAAAAATTTCTCCAAGATGGTGCTATCTTTTTCGGCCCCGGCCCCTCCCCCTTTCGGACATCTGTGGATTCGCCCCTACATGCCAGCAACTAAAGAACATAAGCTATTTATAATGATGTAGCTGGGCATGTATTTTATGGTGATAATTAAAAGATGAAAAACAGTTTAACATTGTTCTGTGTATATCATTTGAATTTCTTAAATTTCTAACGAATGACCGCTGATTTTCTTGTAATTATGTACCCACTTTTGTCTTCTAATTAGATTAAAATCTGGCCGAATTTTGGCCATGAGATGGCGTGTGTTTGGCCGTGAAGACTGTCGACTATCTGGCAACCCTGGCACTGCTGCCAACGCCGGGGTTAGCCCAAGATACAACTATAGGCTATGTTTAGTGTAATCATGAACCGATTAATAGGTCCATGGTATAATATCAACTGGTACTAAGAATGATATATTGAAAGTTAGCTTAATTAGTACTAACCGATGACGCCCGACATCTATGTCTGCTAGTTCACACTTTTTTCCACTGTGATTGATCTTCGTTACAACAATGCACATTCAAAATAGCGGAATACCGTAAGTTTGGGGAATGTTGCATTAAGTCGTTGATCATGCGCAAATGTGTTTCAACTGTTTGTAATTCAATCTTCCCTTGCTTCACCACAATAACTTATCAGTTGATGGGCGCTAACTCGCAAAATAAGGTGATTTTTAACTATTTTTTTTTTTGGGGGGGGGGGGGGGGCGGGGGGCGGGGCGCGAGTAATTTTTGGAGGAAGGTGCGCCCCCGCACCCCTAGATACGTCGTGTGTGTGTATTTACACCATTGTATATAATGCTGACAGAATGAAGTATGGTGTGAATACTAATCAATTGTCTAATCTAGTCTAATATTAAAGCAAGTAGAAAATAATAAGGAAGTAGTACTTCACACTACTTTTAGATTGGTAAGGTCTGACGCAATTTATTTGCAAAAAAAAAAATCAAATGTAATTTTACATAACGCATGACAACCTTGGCTGAATACAATAAAAGTATTATTAAAGATAAGTACTCGAGAGTTTTAATGCTGAATATATACAGTAAACATTTATATGGTTATATATTATTAACGGCAATTAACAAATTAAATAAATATAATGGAACAATAAAGTATAGTAAGCTTGTTTGAGTAGTTGTGATTCCTTATTAGCCGAGATAGCCACAATTACAAATAAATGATTGTAGCTTTAAGATTTACCAAGGGCACGGCATTTACATTGATCACCACACCCCATATCCTCAACCACTTTAATTAATCCTAATTACTCCTCATCCTTAATCTACCACGGAACTAAGAATTAGGTGCACACCAGTACACACTTATATATTCCTTATATCAGGAAATTAAAGTGCAAGATGTGAAGTGCAAATATAAAGCGATCTTGCCAGATCTAGTGTTTTTGCACCCATGAACACAACACACTGCGCTGGTACGAACGCGTGGCCTACCAATTAATAACTCCTCATCCTAAAGCTATCGCGGAACTACAAATTAGGTACACAGCTATACACATTTAGGCCATGAATTACATTGCAAGATGTAGAATGTAAATTTAAAGAGCACAATACACTGTATGAGCGCATACCGTAAAACCAGTGGGTTTGAAGCCCTGGGCTTCCCCCCCCCCCTTTTTTTTTTTGCGAACTTAGGATGGGTTTCATTTCGAGATGGACTACTATTCAAGATGGGCTTCTTTTCAAGATGGGTTTCTTTTCAAGATGGGCTTCTTTTCGAGGCCACTTTTGCAAAGTGAAGAGGATGACTTCTTTTGAAAATGAATGCTGTAATTTTGGGAATTAGTAGGCCTACTTTAAAACAATAGGGCCACTGTAACATCAATATGTATTATGGTGTGTATAACCGGCATTAAATCATTTAAACTACTGTATAAACCATTCTCCTTCTTAATATATTTCCTCCATGTATAAACCAAGTGTGTTTTTAATTTATTTTATTATTTTAAAATTCATGTAGGCTTACAGTGAATGTACTGTACTATCTCGAAAAGAAGGAAAGGCTTCTTTTCGAGGCAAATTTTACAAACTGAAGAGGTGGGCTTCAATTCGAGGTGGGCCTCTTCTCGAGATGAAGCCCATTAGACTTCAATTCGATGTTTTACGGTATGTCACAGATTTAGGCATATTATGACAATTAAATCCGGGCACCCACTGCGTCGTACGACGAATCCAACTCCGTTCTCTGTAAGCGTTAGGCGACGCGACGCCGTCTGCCGATTTTCGGTGGCAGTCTGAAAGAGTTGTCATTAAAAACGATCCGTTGCGTTTTTTAAAGAATCGCGTCGGCCGAAGACAGTCGTGTGCAGTTAGTGCTCGACAGCTTAAGTATGGTTTCCATAAAATCGCTACGCTGTTGTAGGTGTTACTTCAGCGTTACCGAGACCTCTTATGATTAGTGCCCACAATTTTTACAAAAAAGTAATGCAATAATGACATACTGATCATTTTTGTATATTTTCATTATATATTTCAGTCACTCCGAGTTTCTTTCCTATTCTTTCTATATTCTTTCATATTTTATGTTATTTTATTCATAATTAACAACAGAGTACCGGTACTTACACATACATTAATTAAGTTTTTAATTACAATTTTTTTGTTTATGGGGCTAGTCTCTCTATACATGTTCGAAATTTTCCCTATAATAACTACTGTACATTATGTTAGACAAACACACATTTGAATTATTTGTGTAAGTCAATCAAATGTCATAACATGCATCTAGTCCTCAGATAATTAGCAACATATATCGCCACACTAACCCCGAATGTCTTTGATATCCAATCGTTCGTTACCGTATTTATTGTTGGGTATTGGTGGAGTGGCTAACAGCGCTTTGTAACTGTAAGGAAAATCGCTATTCAAGTATACAAGTATAAGAACATAAACGCATTTTTGTTCCGTTTTTTATTTATTTCAACTTGATTTTAAAATAACCCTTCTAGCTGAACTCGTAGGCCAGCCGATATCCAGGGGCCCTCTGTATTTTAATATTTTAGTTGGTCTTTTTTAGTGGCATAAGTGGCCATGATTATTAATATTAATAACATTGACCTAACTATTAGTTATAGAAAGGTATTATTTTAGTCTTAAAAGATAAATTATTAATCGGATTTTACCGTGACGCCCCTGGTGTGCCCTTGATTCCCTGTATATAAACCCCAGAAAGCTTACCTGACTCTGACATTGTAAACACCATTGCATCAGAGACAGCATCAAGAGAGTAGGTGAGTAGAAACATTATTATATAAATATCGAAGTTGTAGTGAATGTATAATTCCTTTAAAAAAAATGAACAACTAGTATTATTTAGCAAAATAAATACGAAATAAACAAGTAATAATAATACTAATAATAATACTAATAATAATAATAATACTAATAATAATAATAATAATAATAATAATAATAATAATAATAATAATAATAATAATAATAATCATAATAATAATAATGAAGATTTATAAAGCGCACATCTCCACCAATGGTGCTCTAGGCCTACAACACACTTTATTACAAATTCCTGGGAAGAATTAAGTTGAGGTTTAACAAAAATGAAAATAATTAAAGTAATATAAAAATTTTCAGACGCTTGCCAAGCTTAATAGACGTTTCTAATCTGGAGTGTCAATCGAACTTAAAAACTGACCAACGCGTTACAAGCAAACGTTTGTCCCGTAAACGCACGTGTTGTAATGCTTCCTCCAGGGCCATTAGTAAAAGCACCGTAACGACCCTGTTATTATGGCAATTTCGGCGCCCATTTTGGCGTTGGTTTCAAGCTTGTGATTTGTTAAAATACTATAGAATTATGTAACGGCGTTAAAATAAAACTAACGCCGCTTATATTAGAATTACAGCGCTTTCATTAAGGCTATTTTGGCTTTGTACAAGCTTGTGATTGGTTGAAATTGGACAACGTAACGCGCTTTTATTATAATTACTGCGCTTTGACACAAAGGTTAACGGCGCTCTTATTATGGCCGTTTCGGCATTATTCTTGGCAATTGATTGACTGAAAATCTGAAAAAGCGGAGTAACAGCGTTGAAAAAATAACGGCGCTTTCAATATGGTCTTGATGCATGCGTATGTTTTAACACTGATGTTTCGTGGGCCCTTAGAAACAATATCATCCAAGAGTCTTAGCGGAAAGGTCTACTCGTACCATGTACCTCTTCAGCACTAATACTTTACTGCGTTGATATCCCATCAAAACTTTAGGCTACGAACAACTCCAGTGGTGGA